ACAAATGGTGCTTGGGTTGGTAACATAGAGGAAGTTGTCAACAACTCCTTCATAAGCCTTTATATAGGGGATCCCACATTTGACACAGAACGATTAATCCAACTCCTAGAGCCCGTTATCACTAATGATATGAACGCACAGTTATGTGAGGCATTCTCAGAGAAAGAAATTAATGATGCTTTGTTTCAGATTGGCCCGTTAATGGCCCCGAGGCCAGACAGGCTTCCAATTCACTTCTTTCAGAGACATTCAGAGGTTCTTCGAGGATACGACCAAAGTAGTTTGAAAGTTCTTTGCAGAGGGTATTGATGATACTTATATTGTAACACTTGAGATTAATTTAAAAAGATTAATAGTACTACTCATACCAACAAGGTGCATCTCCTTTTAAGGGAGCTCGTCACCCAAGAACTCCAAAGTTAAGTGTGCTTCCACGGGAGTAGTGTTATGATGGGTGACCCCCTAGGAAGTTTCTCAGGGCGCGTACGAGTGAGCACAAAGTGCGTGGAAAGACTAGTGGTGGTTTGTCAGGATGGTACTAGAGGTCTAGAGTAACTACCACGGGTCTTGCGGGACCAGGGTGTTACAAGTGGTATAAGAGCAACCCTACAACAGTGTGTTGATCCGTTGGATATTGAGCGGGCACTTAGCGGGGCAAGATTCTGGGGTTTGATTGAGATTGGTTTATGGGCACAACGAGGACGGTGTGTTCCTAAGTGGGGGTGATTCTAACACTTGAAATTGATTTTACTCATACCAACAAGGTGAATCTCCTTTTAAGGGAGCTCATCACCCAAGAATTCCAAAGTTAAGTGTGCTTGCACAGGAGTAGTATTGGGGTGGGTGACCCCCTGGGAAGTCTTATGGTTTTACCAGCCACCAGAAAGGGTGAAGATCGACGTTTTATCAGCCACCTCCAAAGAAGATATTCCGTTTAGAACAGCCACCATAAAGGGAGAAGAGGTTTGCCCAGCGACCTCTAAAGGAAGCACTTCACTCCCAAGGCCTATAAGTATTCCAAGTAGTGCTGATCCAGAAGCACCGTTGTTGAGCTATTTTTTGACTCGTTTTCATCAACCTCCATATTGACTTGTACTTCCACAAATTCTGCAAGTCCACTGCTCTAGTGCTCTATGCTTCCTAGACTCTCCTTCCTCAAGGGCTCTAGCTAGATTTTGCTCTTCCTTAGCTCTCATCTTTCCTTTTTCTTTTGAAACAAGTCCTAGACCAGTAACAATCTGCCTCTATTGCCTTCTCTTGTTTCCCTATCAGCTGCCCATCCTTCTCTCTATCTCCCCTGACACTGGTTAATTCTCGCCCTCCACGCGGGATCATCCATATATTCCCCATATGAGCCCCCCCACGCCGCATATCTGCCCTCATTCAATGGCCATAAGGCTTCTCACCCACACACGACCCCAAACTGGTATTAGATGGGCAATAGCAATTGGTATGGCTTAACACTCCACAGATGAAACAAATGTTAGGGAGTCTCATATTTGAAATATGTCCAGAACAAGGTATCCCCCTCTAACATGTGTCCTTTTCAACGCATTCTTGATATTTATAGAAACGCAAATGTGTACATACTAGGCATGGATTGGGACGGGTCGGCCTGGCCCATTACTATGTAGGCCCGGCCCGCGGTACCGGGACCAGGTCTGGGGCTCGAACCGGGTTATTAGGGGCCGGGCTACGGGTCCTTCAAAAAGATGACCGGCCCGGGCCTAACGGCTCTATTAAAAAAAGGCTTTGCAGTCATGTGCGGCTGTACCCCATGCCAAACGGCTCTATAGCCGTTGGAGAAGGGCCTAGGGGGTTTGGGGGGTTGGGGGTGGGTGGTAAAAAATCTATAAATACTCCTATTTTCTAAACATTTTCCTACACCGATTCTCCATTCTTCCTACTCTCTAATCATCTCCATCTTCATCTTCTCCAATTACTATATCTATTTAAATTAGTTATACAATTATTATATGTACTCATATATTTATTATCTACTTATTAATACATATATTATATATACTTGTATTTATTATATACTTAATATATACTTATTATCTACTTAATATCTACTTATTACTCCCTCCGTCCCAGGGAGAAGTTCCCACTTTCCTTTTTTAGTAGTCCCAACAAAAAGTTCCCATTTCCCTAAATGGAAAGTTATCTTACATCAAAACAGTGTCAAACAGTGCAAAACAGTGCCAAACAGTGTTGAAACAGTGCCAAACAGTGTCTAAACAGTGCCAAACAGTAAAATTTACCCCTCAGTAACTTTATTTCCTAAATATGTGTGAAAGTCAACCCGAGAACTTCTCCCTGGGACGGAGGGAGTATATATTTATATACTTGTTATTTACTTATATTTACATATTATATCTAATTAATATTGTTGAGGTTTATTCCTTCAACCCGCAGACCCAACACGTAAGCCCAAGGTTTTCGAATGGAAGAGTGTATGGATATGAGATGCAAGCAAGTAAAATGGGTTAAGAAATGTATGCAATAGTGAGCCGAGTATTATTAAGATCTAATAACTCCCCGTTACACTGCACTATGCTAAGGTCAGCGGCCGTACGTCTCACACTCGAGTAGAAGAGCTGTGAGAATAAGCTAAGAGCTTAATGAATGCTAGAATGCTTAGGCGGGTAAGTTGTCAACCTTTTACAATGAAATAAAGACTACTATTTATACTACCAAAGGGGCAGTTGAACTTGCTGACGTGGAGAGCTGTAGAATATGTAGATGGCTGAAGCCTCAACCACCAAATCTCCAGAATTAAATGCGCTTCCCGCTAAGATCTTGGTTTCCCGCCTATTCATGGAGACGAGCGTCCTCTTGAACCTGGGGTTGGCCCTTGGTAATATCTGCAAAGGGTTGCGGGCCGTACGTTTTCTGGCCCTTGTGTAAAAGTGCATTGGTTAGTCTTGGGCTTTATCTTATGTGGCCCTAGACAGGATTGACGACGTTCGTCTTATCTGCCTTCAGAGGAGTGACTGTTGCGGATCATGGAGACGTTCGTCTCTACCCACAAAGACCCATTGGGTTTGGACGTTCGTACACAGAGGGGTTATATGGGCCGATCCTTTATTTGGGCCATTAACCCAACAAATATATTAAGTATATATATTAAAGTATTAAATATAAGTGTACTACTCATGTTATAGTAGTATACTTATATATTATATACTATAAACATTATATTATATATTAGTTATACAATTATTTTTTTTTTGCGCAAAGGAAGTGTTTTATTGAAGTTAAAAACAAAAGAAGAGTACAAATGAAGAAAGAAGGGAAAAAATACATATTAATATCTACTAAAATGCTTATTATCTACTTATAAATACATATATTATATCTACTCGTATTTATTATCTACTTAATATATACTTATTATCTACTTAATATCTACTTATTATATACTTTTTATTTACTTATATTTTCATTTATTACATTTAATTAATATATTAAGTATATATATTAAAGTATTAATTATAAGTGTACTACTCATCTTATAGTTGTATACTTATATATATATTATATACTATAAACATTATATTATATATTAGTTACATTTTAATTAATATTAGTTAAATTTATCCTATTACTTACACACTCACACTCCCATTAATTAGTATGCATTCATACATTTTTCCTATTAGTTTCATTTTTCCTTAATATTAGGTAATTAGTTAATTGTTACATTTCTCATTTGGTCACTTTTAATATTTGTTACATTCTCATTTGTTACATACTAATATGATTTGCATTTTTAGTTGATTTTAATATACCTGTCACATTATCATATAAAAATTGTTAGATTAAAATATAAAAGTAGTTGCATTTTTAGTTAATTTTACTACACTTGTTAGATTAAAATTCCAACTAGTTTAATAGTTTAATTAACTGAAATTCTAACTACTTTTATATTTTAATCTAACAAGTATAGTAAATTAACCAAAATTGCAACTACTTTAATAGTTTAATTAACTAAAATCCCAACGGCTTTTATATTTTAATCTTTATATAGTAAATTGAAAAAAAAAAGATTAAAATATAAAAGTTGTTGTGATTTTAGTTAATTAAACTATTAAAGTAGTTGCAATTTTGGTTAATTTACTATACTTGTTAGATTAAAATATAAAAGTAGTTGGAATTTCAATTAATTAAAATATTAAACTAGTTGGAATTTTAGTTAATTTTACTACCCTTATTAGATTAAAATATAAAAGTAGTTGAAATTTTAGTTAATTAAACTATTAAACTAGTTGGAAATTTTAGTTAATTTTAATACACTTGTTAGATTAAAATATAAAAGCAGTTGGAATTTTAGTTAATTAAACTATTAAACTAGTTGGAATTTAAGTTAATTTTACTACACTTAGATTGTTAGATCAAAATATAAAAGTAGTTGGAATTTAAATTAATTAAACTAGTTGGAATTTTCGTTAACTAAACTATTAAAGTAGTTGGAACTTTAGTTAATTTTACTACACTTGTTAGATTAAAGTATTTATTGAAGTACTTGGAATTTTGCTTTAATTTACTAATCACATCTTAATATAAGTCACATTTTTTAGGGAAAACTGTCAAATAAGTCCTTGTACTATACCAAAAAAGTCAATTAAGTCCTTGTACTATAAAATCATCCAATTAGGTCCTCAAAGTGTTAAAAAACAATCACAATAGCCTTTTCACCGGTAATTTGCCGGTTAGCCGGTAATCTGCGTGTGTCCCGTTGGTTTTTCTTTACTGTTCTTATTTTTTCTTTATCAGTTTCTTTTTGCACTTTTTTCGTTTCTGTTACTTTCTTCTCTCCCCCACCACTTCTTCTTCCTCAATGGGTTTCTTCCTCACTGGGTTTCTTGCTTTTGCATCCCGATCTCTACTCTTTATTTTCGTCTTGTTCATTTTGGTTTCCACAATAAAATATGAATTCCATAGTCCACTGCTTGTTAAATTGTTGTCTCTGGCCGACCAGCTCCTACAAATCCCCCAACCTCCGTAAGTTGCCGGCCGTCACCCCAAACTTCACCAACACTCCAATAGTCGGCGGCGGTCACCCGTCACGGACATCTTCCCAAATTGCCGTCTTGTGCCGTTCATCCCCACCACTTCGCCGACTGTCGCCCACATCTTCAACAATAGCTGGCCAAAATCCGCCTCCCGTCTCCCACCATAGTCCAATCACTGCCACACGCAGCCCGTCTCCCATATCTATCCTAGAAGACGCCTGCTGTCCACCGGCTCTAAATTCCCGGATTAACCTCCAACGCGGCTGACCATCGAAACAAACAAGACCAGGAGGAAGAATGGAAGAAAAATAGAAAGAAAATATAGAATGTTTAGGCGTAGCAGAGAACAAGGAGATAAAGAAATTGAACGGAATAACCGAAGAAGAAAGGAAAGAAAATAATACGGAGTAAATTAATGTCCAAGTCAACATATACCGGTGATACCCGTTTTCAACCGGCTAAAAGTATAAATTGAACATTTTTTATAGTTGAAGGACCTAATTGGATGATATTATAGTACAAGGACTTAATTGACTTTTTTGATATAGTACAAGGACTTATTTGACAGTTTTCCCCATTTTTTATTATAATCACATTACTTACATTTTAATATAAAAGTCACATTTTAAGTATTGTTACAAATTACTTACATTTGTTATTACTTGCATTGTTTTTGTACTCACATTAACATATTTGTTAGAATTTAATATTTGTTACATTTTAAGATGGAACGTGGTAGACATTCTGTAGATATGGGTAACCTCCAACGCAATTGAAAGAATGAGATTGGGAGGAATCATCCTACTTCACGCAAAGGTAAATGACATATCAGATCTTCTTCTCAAAGCTTAGATGATTTTGAAACAGATTACCAATAGAGAGATGTGAATGCAATGTCTGATGCGCAACTACAACAACTATTGGCCCAACGGGATGAGCGCTTTTTCCAACAAAATGACATCCCCGACATTGAGGAAGAGCTCAAGGATGGCGACGCCGAAGAGGATCATGGAACCCTGACGATGGTGATCATGGAACCCCCGACGAGGACGAGACTGGTTCATCTCAACCCAAGAAAGGTGAATTTCTCCTTATGAAAAATAATTATGTAAAGTGGAAGGACCCGGTAACCGAGAAGTGGTACACAACTTGCAATCATTGTAAGAAAGATATAAGCTTGGGGATTTCACAAGGATACGACGGGACCGATAGGCATATTAAGGCCCGTCACCCCGTGGAGTATGCAAAATTAAAAGGTAAGGGGAAGCAAATTCAAATATCGAGGTTTGCAAATTTCCAACCCTATGGTAATTTCTCCTATGATGATTCCAAACATTTAACTGATATGTCTGAATTAATTGTTGATGAAAATTTGCCTTTTATTTTTCTGAAAGTCTTGCATTAAAATCTTATGCTAAAAAATCTTTAAATCCTCAATTTAGAAACTATAGTCGCAAAACTATTAAAAAAGAAATTATAAGGCAATATATTTTCGAAAAGGAGAGATTACAAATGTTTTTCGCAAACTTTGATGGGCATGTTAGTATTTGTAGTAATATATGAGAAGATACGTATCATTATTTGTACTATTTGGGTGTGACTGCACATTATATTCATGATGATTGAGAAATGCATAAATGTGTTCTTGCTTTTCGTAAATTTATTGACCGAAACACCGCTGATAATATTTATATTCTCATTGAGGGAATTTAAATTGAGTATAATTTGATTGATAAGGTGTTTGATATGAGTTTTGATAATGCTAGTAATAATATTCCTGTTATATCTAGATTGCGTGAATTGTGTGGTCCTACTTTGATGGGTAGGTTTTTCATCAGCGTTGTACATGTCATATTCTCAATTTTTGTGTAAAAGACGGGCTAGCCGCGTTAGGAGATGATATGGAGATAGTGAAGGAGGGAATTAGACTTATTTGAGCTAGTAATCGACGTAAAATGCAATGGCGTCAATCTTTGAGGGATAGACGTGTGAAATATTGTGTTTTTCCTAACGATTTGTCTATTCCCTGGAATAGTACTTATAACTTAATTGATGCACTTGTTAGATTTAAAGACCATTTTCCTACTTTCTTAAAAGAATATGTTAACTATATTATAAATCCGGCTGACATCGACACTATGCAAAAAATTGTGAATCTTTTGGTATATTTTAATAATGCAACTCAAACGTTTATTCATGTTTATAAACCTACCTCAAACCAATTTTTGGTTGAAGCTGTTAATCTCGTCGGTGCTTTTTATGAATTTTCCGATGCCCTTTGTATTCGTCATTTTTGTGATAACATGAAAGAAAAGTTTTTAAAATATTATTTGCATATTCCGCATATATAAGATATTGCATTTATTCTTGATCATCATTTCAAACTTGCTTTTCAAAATTGTTTAGACTATTATTATGCTTGCTTTGTTGGTCCATTTCCTATGTTCGAAGATAAACCCATGTATCCTAAAGAGCAATACAACGAGGTTAATAACTTTTTCATCAATTATATAATGAGTTTCATGCACAATATGGTAACGCACCCCCTCCACCGACACGAACATATTCTTCGAAAATCATTTTTAAAATCAACATTTGGCAATCTTATGAAAAATAGGGCTGGACTCGGTTCGGGCCGGACCCGGTTCGGGCCTTGAACCGGCCGGGCCTCGGTTCACCAAAAGGAGGGCCCGGGCCCGAACCGGCGGTGACCGGTTCCGGGCCGGTTCCGGGCCGGTTCACCCGCCCCATTTTTGTTTTTGGCTTCCCTTATTTAACCCCCTACCCCTCCCTCTCAACCCCAAACCACCCCAAACCACCTCAAATAGCCCAAAATACCTAATCCAACCCAAAAATTTAAAAAATTTCAAAAAAAATAAAATAAAAAATTATTCCGGCCCGGACCGGGCCCGAACCGGCTGGGCCGGTTCACCAAATGGATGGCCCGGGCCCGGAACCGGTATCCACCGGGCCGGTTCGACCCGAACCGCCGGTGGACCGGGCCACCGGGTCGGGCCGGTTCACACAGTAACCGGGCCGGGCCGGTTCCGATTCGGGCCGCCCCGGCCCGAGTCCAGCACTAATGAAAAAAGTAAATCAACTCCCGTTGTAGCACAAGGCTCAATTAACGAGCTTTCTTTATATCTAACGTTTCTTGTGGACTACGAAAAAGGGGTGACTTTGACGTTCTGCAGTGGTGGAAGGGCAAAGAAAGAACGTTCCTGATTTTATCAAAGATGACTAAGCAAGTGCTATCAATGCCTGTATCAACAGTTGCCGTGGAACAAGAATTTATTGTGGTCGGCAACGTCCTAACGGATTATAGAACGAGATTGATCACAAAATCTCTTGAAACGCTTGTTTCCTTCCACGATTGGTTAAAGGCCCAACGTAGAACTCAAGAAGTTAGTATCGCCCCCACCCGCCACTTCATGGAGGAAACAACAACCGATGGTGCCGGAGATTTCGACTGATTTTTAGGAAATGTATTTAATGTTTTAAAATTTTCTCAATTCTCAATTGTAGTTCATATTTCAAATAAATATAGTTTAACTTTTTATTGTCTACCACTTGTTGAATTAATTTTTAAACAAAAATAAAAAAAAAAACAAAAAATAGCCCGACTTGGCCCGGCCCGGCCCGAGACCCAGACGGGTAGCCTGGCCCAGTTCAAACCCGGGCCAGTACCGGGCCTTCATCCCTAAAACCTAGTCCCGCCCCGGAGCCCGGCCTGGTCCTGGTCCATCCCTAGTACATACTTCTTTTAGAGTTCTTTCATTTGGGTCAGTTTTCTTAACTCGTCATAATATGTCTTGGTTATTTTTTCTAATTGATTCTGTATCTCTAAATCTACATGTCTTGTGACCATAGCTGAAGTTTTAAACCTGACACGTACTTCAAATTTTCTACTCCGTATTATACTAGTTACTACCAGCTTTCAGCTTTAGTTCGTTTATATGAACTCACCAATTACCATGATGATATTTTTAACAAGCAAACTTTTTTTGAGATTAAAAAATGCATCTGTTACATTTTGGCTCACTTGATACAAACGATCATGTTCTCACATGTAACAATTTCTACTACAATATCTTCGGAATTTTTCAAAATGGTATCACAAGTGTAGTAGTGTCACTAGTGTGCATCCACCAAAGCTCACTTGCATTGTTATTATTGGTAGATTTGTTTATCGTTCCTAATTTCTTATAGTTATAAAGATTGCGATGGACATTAAACTCGGCACTTTCCTAGCATGTTAAGTTATTGACTTGTTGTACTTCCACCCGCCTCCCCTAAATATAAGAATACACGAAATATGTCCTTCATGAACAACACAGCTCAAACATACACATTATAACATACAGAGTATAAGCTAGGAAAGCAGAATTACATTTCCATTAAAGTCCAACACAAACTGAATGAAAACAAAACTCCGACTCTCTGAGCCACTAAATTAAAGATAGCAAGGGGCACCCAATACTAAAAACTCAGAAAACGAAGTCCAACAGAAAAGTAAAGTCTCTCCATCGCCTATCCAGAACCCAATTCTGAAAATGGGCACCAAACAAACGAGGTAGTAAAAGACAACTCATTGACCAAAGCAACACATTTGGAGGAAGCAAAAACACAATTCATTTCTTTTTCGCGGCGGCCTTGGTAATCTTAGCTCCAGAAGGCTCTTTCTTCTCCACACTCTTGACGACTCCAACAGCAACAGTTTGCCGCATGTCCCTCACTGCAAAACGCCCAAGAGGCGGGTACTCAGCAAAGGTCTCCACAACCATGGGCTTGGTGGGAACCATCTTCACCATCCCAGCATCCCCATTTTTCAAGAACTTCGGCTCCTTCTCAAGCTCCTTACCAGACCGTCTATCAATTTTAGTCAATATCTCAGAGAACTTGACAGCAATGTGGGAAGTGTGGCAGTCGAGAACTGGGGCATAACCATTTCCTATCTGACCAGGGTGGTTCATGATGATGACCTGTGCAGTGAAATTGGCAGCTTCCTTGGCAGGGTCATCTTTGGAATTCGATGCAACATAGCCACGCTTGATATCCTTGACGGCAACATTCTTAACATTGAATCCCACGTTGTCACCAGGAAGTGCCTCTGGAAGAGACTCATGATGCATCTCAACAGACTTCACTTCAGTTGTCAGACCAGTTGGCCCAAAAGTGACCAACATACCGGGCTTAATCACACCTGTCTCAACACGGCCGACAGGTACAGTACCAATGCCACCAATCTTGTAGACATCCTGAAGAGGTAGACGGAGGGGCTTGTCAGATGGCCTCTTGGGCTCGTTGACCTGGTCTAGAGCCTCAAGAAGGGTTGGTCCCTTGTACCAGTCAAGGTTTGTTGACCTTTCAATCATGTTGTCACCCTCAAAACCAGAGATTGGGACAAAGGGGACCTTGTCAGGGTTGTATCCGACCTTCTTCAGGTAGGATGACACTTCCTTGACAATCTCCTCATACCTAGCCTTCGAATACTTCGGGGTTGTGGCATCCATCTGCAAATTAAACATCAAGAGATCATCAGCAAAAGTTGTTTGACATAACAAAATACAATTAAAATTAATATATAAATTAAATCATTTAGAACTAAATATTGATAGTTTATAAATGAAACCTTGTTGCAGCAGCAAATCATTTGCTTCACACCAAGAGTGAAAGCAAGCAAAGCATGTTCACGGGTCTGACCGTCCTTGGAAATACCAGCTTCAAAACCACCGGTGGTGGAATCAATGATCAAAACAGCACAATCAGCCTGAGAGGTTCCAGTAATCATGTTCTTGATGAAGTCACGATGTCCAGGAGCATCAATGACAGTGCAGTAGTACTTTGTGGTCTCAAACTTCCACAAAGCGATATCAATTGTGATACCACGCTCACGTTCAGCCTTGAGTTTGTCAAGAACCCATGCATACTTGAAGGACCTCTTGTTCATCTCAGCTGCCTCCTTCTCAAACCTCTCAATCACACGTTTGTCAATACCTCCCAACTTGTAGATCAAATGGCCTGTGGTGGTTGACTTCCCAGAGTCGACATGGCCAATGACAACAATGCTGATGTGAACCTTTTCCTTACCCATGGTGGATTATGGTACCTGTAAACAAATAGAAATTAAAATAGAGTTGCAGATTGTGATCATGTTTTCCAATTAATAACTTGACCAACAACAAATAGACTACATGTAGAATTATATAAAAGAACCTTTCACCAAATGCCATTCAAAGTCTACAATATCGTATTACTATACAGTGTTTGAAAAATATTTTGTGACTTCGATGACATAACAAACGACACCCAAATCTTCCGAACAGGCAAATCTTACACATCAAATTAAAATTAACCATATATTGACATTACTCCAGACTAATTCTCAATATGGATTACAACCAAATCATTCCAGTGAAAAATATAACTTACAAACAGAGATGAGATAACAAAAGACATCGAGATCTTCAAAATAGTTAGTTCTCACACATCTATTTAAAATCAACCACAGATTTACAATACTCTAGACTTTCAGAACAAGGAATACAGAGAAAATCTCAACAATAACTCTGACTTAGTAATAGCGCGAGTAACAAAGATCTCGATGAGTAAGGATCTAGAGGTTCAATATAAACAAAGATTCAGGAGATACGCGTACTTAAACACCATTTCCGCTACTATCTAAATAAATACAAAGCGAACAGCTTGATTCACAAAGAAAACATGGTTAAATTTAGAGACAACATGAAATTCTTGTATCTATATCCGCGGAATTCATAAATTATTACGAAATCTTCTGGATCTAACCTTTAGATGAGTGAATGCTGCGGCCGGACAAAGAGAAGAGTTTACAAAGCAGGGATGATTCTGATCAGTTAGAGAGTATATATAGGCGAGAAATGATGTATTAGGGCAACAAGAAGCTTTTGTTTTGTCTTTTTGGATTGGGTGCAAAAACAAATTTTTTCTAAAAACGGGTTGCAAAGTCCAATGTGCACAATAAAATGGGGTGCAAATATAAATTACTCATTTTTTTCATCTTCACACAAACTGAAAAATGGGCAGAAAGAGTACATCGAGAAGTGCTCAATTTCTTGGAGAGAAACTGGTTTGTTTAGTCCTCTAAGAAGCAAAATTGCATATATACATCTACGGCAGAGGCTAAATATGTTACTTCCGCTACCTATTGTTCACAAGTATTATGGATGAAGACTCAACTACGTGACTTTGGATTTTATTTTGAACACATACCAATCTTCAGTGACTCAAAGAGTGCGATTGTTATCTAATGCAACCCAGTTCATCATTTTCGCACTAAGCACATTGACATGAGATTTCACTTCATCAAAGATAATGTTGAAAAATGCCATGTGGACCTATACTTTGTGTGCACTGAGCTACAACTGGCTGATCTATTCATTAAAGTCCTGGACAATAAAAGATTCCAGTTCCTGATTTCAAAACTGGGAATGCTGAATTGTGATTTTTAAAATGCGCACAAGTGTAGGGGGGCAATTTATTTTATCTGTCATGTCAGTTAATTTAGTTTATTTTATTTTATTGAGTCAATTTCTTGCTCGTTTAATTTGTTTGCCTAAAAGTGTGCATACATTTAGGGGGAGCAAAAGTTAGTCTGGTCTGAGTGCTGCAATTGAGGGGGTATTTTATTTGTGTCATTCACAAGATCACAAAAATATTTTATATATTTTAAGTCTGACTAGTGTTTCCTATTTTAGTGAGTCAGTTTCCTATTCTGAGAAAAAGGCAAAAAGTTTTTAATTTTTCTTCCTCGCGAGTTCTCAAGGACATAGCAAAAAAAATTCATCTTCGTCCTCTCACCCTTGAATCTCTATTGCACTCAAACATCTCAAACACTCCAAAAGTTTTTCTTATTCTTCTTTGTCGGTCATCTTCTCCAAATTTGATTAAGGCTGTCATTTATCTTTTAGTTTGCATGTTTGTCTATGTATTTCGTTTTCAGTTGCATGTACACATCTTGACGACGACGAGAATCTAACAAAGACCACCAGAAACCACCTTATCTTCGTCGGCCACCATTGTCACTATCAACCTTTTTCCCCAACTGACAATCCTCTCCATTCATCATCTAACAAACATTTTGTCACGCTCCGGACCTATCCGGACACGTCAACAATCCGCCGTACAGTACGAATAGTCAACCACAGTCCAACACATTCATACTATACAAGGCGTCTGGGATATCATTCACACATAGTACATCCATAAACAAACATAATGTAAAGTATTCATTCAAAGCAGCGGAAACATTTAATACAAGTGTTCGTGCCACACTTTGACAACCATGGCATACAAGCCCCCAAATGATTATTCAAAAATATAATATCCATGAGCATTAATTTAAATGTTTTTTTAAAAACGGGAACGGAGGAAGCACGAACCACGTCTTCCTTCCTTGAATTCTTCCGGAGCAACGGGCACTAGTAGCAAGCTCAGCTCCTACCTGAAACTGTGAAGTGGCCTCCCCCGTGAAGGGGAGGTCAGTACTTGGAAGCATTTGACAAGTACAATGACAACTATACTAAGTATAATCAATGTTTCAATTTCCAAGACCCTTAACCAGGGTATTATCATATCATAGTTAACTTTGTTCGTTTAGTGTCAATTCATCGTTATTTACCACGGTCTAGAGCCCAGCTCAATAATCACCGTTATCTACTACGGTCTAGAGCCCAACTCAATAATCACCGTTAACTACTACGGTCTAGAGCTCAGCTCAATAATCACCGTTATCTACGTCGGTTTAGAGCCCAGCTCAATAATCACCGATAACTACTACGGTCTAGAGCCACTACTAGAAAACTGTGTTACAGTGACACTTGTTTAGTGACACTTTTTCAGAAAGTGTCACAGATGTACGACATATTTTATTTACGATACACAAATGTCATTAATGAGTGACACTATGACGTCAAAATCAAAATGTGATACTTGGGGAGATTTATTGATTTTATTTTGTCTCTTAACCCTATAAAAAACAACTACGGAGTAACACCCTAACGTTAATCGTCTATTCTACGGAGTATTTCTTTCTCTTTTCCCAATTTGAAGGCAGACTATTTCGTTCAAATCGGATATGCCTCTGCGTTCTCCATCTTGCCCGCACTCCTCTCTCAAGCAAGGGACGAAGACGACTCGCCACTGCCGCTGCTCTCAAGCCCGAGACGAAGAAGACGCACCGGCGCTGCTCTCAATTAAGAGACGAAGATGACGCACCATCGTCGCTGCTCTCAATTAAGAGACGAAGACGACCTACCGTCGCCGCTGCTCTCAGTGTGGATTGCCATTCGCATAATACCAGACACTTTTTGTCCCATCACCTAATTCCGTTCTCCATCACAGGTTCCCCTCTTCAACCCTTTTTTTTTACCGCTCTTCAACCCTATTTCACTGAAAATGCATTTTTTGGTTTGGATTATATATAATATTTTTACACCCTTACCTTGCGATTATTTTAAGGAGTATATATCTTTGTCGATGTTCTTTTTACTTTAACTAATTTTGGGATTAGGGCATGAAAATTATTATTCAGAAATGCTTGAGTTTCTTATTGACTATAACCTATTCGTAAAAATGTCTGAATGAGATTCATAACATGAGGTACATCATGCTATATTCTACATCCCTTGTATTAATCGTCTTCTAGTAACATGTTACATGATCTTACAAAACATAAGAGGTAGATGCTCGAACATATACAAAGTTCTCCTTTTTGTTCTACATAGTTCTCCTTTTTTATTCTACAATTTGCTTCGAACAGTCCTAAATTTTAATGGCATTAGAAAAGTAATTTAACCTCCTTAGTATCCTTGTATATCTCCTTCCATGTGTTTGGAAAAGGAGTCATTTTCTGGCTTGTAATGTGTGTTGTCTGGTCTAAACCCAAATTGATAGGTAGGTGAGTTTGTTTGTCTAATCCCAACAATATTGGATGCAATCTAGAAAGCAAAGTGTGTATTTGAGCAGTAGTAAGTGAGAGAAGCTAAATATAAAAAAAAATAATCATGTAGGCTTTCTAGCACATTTTTTAATGACTTTCTCGTTTCGTTAGCATATGCACCTCTAATTTTGTTTACTAGTTATTTGTGATCAAGGAGAATCCATTCAACTTGAAGGTTCTTATGAAAAATAGCAGCTGAAGTTGGCGCCACCACCGCCACATTAACAAGTAATATCAACTGGTTGGGTTAGAAGCACATGTTATTGTTGTCCTATCATGAGTAATTTCAGTTAGGAACATATATCATTGTACCGATATGACTTTTTGAGCAATATGAAGATGACTAGAGTATAAATTTCTACATTTGAGAGACTCTATAAGCATATTTCTAATATTAGATGGCTCCATGCATGACTTGTTTTAGTTATATTTTATTTTTTTTATTACTAGGCTTAGTTTTTCTTGAAATTAAAGAGCTAACACCAGTTGCCATTTGGCTTAGTTGCATTAGTTTTTCTTGAAATGGAAGTTCATCATTGATATCATTGAAAGCTAAAGAAGCCATTTATCAAGGTATCTATTAATTTTAACCATTGATATCTTCCCCAAAATGTTCCATCATTCCAAACACATTTTTGTTCCAATGTTTTAAATCAAATTTGAGACATTGTAGTTTAGAGAAAAGACCCCTCATTGCCTCACAGATTTTAGCCAAGTGCCAACTATATTCCAGGGTTCCATAGAAGCATGGATGAGAAACTCACATATTTTGAAACTTGAATATTTTAGGGCCACTAGTGTTTTTATTTTTGCAGGTAAAAAGCAGGGGAGTATGATCAGAAGAAGCCAAAAAAGAGTCTCCTTCTTGATCTTCATATGAGTAAATCTTTATGTATATAAAAAGGGAACCGACGGGGGAAAACTGTTCTTGCCTTTCCCATCATCTTATGTCTTGTATAGGCCTTCCAGGTAGCATGCCAGTTAGACACGTTCGAGTAGCAGTTTCTACAACACGTCTGGAACCGCCTGCAAGAATACCATGATAACAACAATGATTAGATTAACTACTTTCAAGCCATATTTAATAGGAAGCATCAACTTTACGACTACACATTCACAGTGCAATGTTGCAAGGTATAATTGTTTGCTCTCTTTAATTTACGAAAAATGTATTTTTGCAGAGCGGCAGGTTTATACGAAGATGTTGTTCAAACAGATGACCAAACTTAACACCTTGAAAACCAACTGTGCATCGAGAGATGATATGGTTGTCAGGCATACAGCAGAAAGAGAATATAGTTCACAGCAGAAAGAGAATATAGTTCACACTGTTAGTATATGTAAATTCAAACTTGATTGCCATTTGGATATATTATTGTACTTTGCAAACAAGGTGACAGACCAGGACCAAATTAAGGAAGGAAGCTGGTATACTATTACCATTCTTTGCATGATGTACGATGTACTATTATTGTTCAGTACTCCAACTTACTAATGAACATCAAGTTGATGAAATTAAAGTGTTTGTGCATTTTAAAGTTCTTATATAGGCAACTGATTATTTAGGCAACATGAGTTGCACACATTTTTCCTGAGAGCAACTACTGCAACGTCATTGTAAAGAAGAGTACTCATGATCACAATCCAGGTACATTGAAAAAATCAAATCATTTCTTTTCAATTTAATTTTTTCTATTGATACTTCATTTATTTAGGATTACGGGTATGTAGTTAGAATTAGTTTATTGAAGGTAAATAGTATACTTCATTTTATTAAGATGATAGCTTTGAGAAAAACTTATCAATAAGCATTCCAAATGATAGATAAAGTGTTGCTAAGGGTTAGAAACAGACAAAATCTTCATCTCTAAAACCAGGAAATATTGCTCCAAACCCATCTCATAACATTAATTCTA